CCTTCTCTCTCTCTCTCTCTCTCTCTCTCTCTCTAGAAGCTAAATGTGGCTTGGCTGATCGACTGTAACTTCATCTCTCTCACTCACTTTGAGCTAGGTCTGCCTCATCAAGTGTTGCTTTCTCTCTCTAAGCTAAGTCTCTCTCTCTCTCTCTCTCTCTATCTCTTCTCTGTATTTCTGGCTGAGTAAGAATATCTTTCCCTTTCTCTGCAACTTTCTCTCTCTAAGCTAAAGATCCTATTTTGCTCTCTCCCTCCCTCTGTCTAATAATCTCTGATATCTCTGGCTCAGCAGTAATCTCTTTCCGTTTCTCTGCAACTCTCTCTCTCTCCGAGCCGAGCCGAGAATATCCTATTGCTCTCTCTCTTTTCCCCGTCTAATAATCTCTGTATTTCTGGCTGGGCAATTTTCTCTTCCCCTGTCTCTGCAACTCTCTCTATAAGCTAAAGATCCCAGTTTGATAGCTCTCTTTCTCTATTTACTAATCACTCTGTCTCTGGCTAACTATTTCTTTATCCCTTTCCCTTTCTCCGCAACTTTTCTCTCTCTAAGCTAAAGATCCTAAATTTGTTCTCTCTTGCTTTCTCTGTCTACTAATCTTTGTATCTCTGCCTTAGCAATTGACTCTCTCTTTCTGAGCTAAAAATTCGTATTTCGGTCTCTAATAACTCTGTAATCATCTCTTTCTCTGTGACTCTCTCTTTCGGCTAAAAGATTACTATTTTGGTTTTGGTCTCGACTTTTTCTCTCTTAAGTTAAATCCGGGTTTTGCTGCCTCTTTCTCTTTCTAGGAGTCTCTCTTTATCTCTGGCTGAGCAATTGTCTCTTTCTCTGCGAATTTGTCTCCCCCTCCTTAAACTGATTCCTGATTTCTCTCTCTTCCTCTCTCTTATCTCTCTCCCACACTCTGTCTGAAATCAGGGATAAGAGCTAGGGACAAGAGCGAGAAAGCTCCAAATTCATTTGATTTTGTTGAGAAATGACAGAGTGTGAGAGGGGGTTGGTGGTTTTGACTTTGTATGATAGTTTTGAACGGGAAAGAAGCAAGAGACAGAAAGTTCGCTGAAAGTGAAGGCTTTTCCCTTCGATCTTGCTAGAGAAAAGTTTAGAGAAAATCATGAATCAGAGCAATCAAACATGGTCTTTTGATGTTGTTTTTAGGTGATTTCAGAGTAAATCTCTGAACATAGAGAAAGATTGAGGAATCCTTTTGGCGCTTTGTTTCTTGGAGCTATTGTGCGTTGGTAAGCTTTTTCGTGCCTGCATTTCTGAATGACATGCTTGAATTTTAATGGCAACTATATTTTAGGAATTCATCCTCTGTATAGCAGAATTGATGATGCTCTGATTCTATAAGAGAAAATTTTGATCGATTGAAATTTGTGGGGACAATATGAGATTGAAAAAAAGTAGAAACTTGTGGTTATTTGATAGTGTATGTGCTTGAATTTTTATGGGAATTATGTTAGGATTTGATAATTAGAATTGGGGAAACGATGGTACTGGAATTTTTCTTTTTTTATTAGATTTTTTCTATTTTTATTTGGGTGTGGTTTGCATATGGTTGCAACCTTAAACAATCCTATTAAGGCTCACCTCTAAATTTTATCATATACTTAATTTTGATATAAAAAATTCGTAGGTTGGCTTGAGAACCTATTTTCATCTCTAATTATAAAATTTTAAACTCTAAAAATGGTTCAAATCAAGTAGATCTATGAACACATGAAAATCTTGGAAATGGACTGTCCGGATAATGTGTTACAAGATACACTATTTCGCGGACTCTAAAAACTTTTTTTTCCATATTCATACATCTCCATATCAAGATGATTGATTAGAGGGTTTTCCACCATCCAAACAGCCTTTTATGATGGATTTTGCACCTTTAATTCTACATTTTAAGATTGCAACCTTATATAAACCTTTTCCTTTTCATTATAATGAGAACCTTTTAATTGATGAAAATTCAAGCAAGAAGTCTATCCAATTGACTGATTGTAATCATAGAAGTTATGCTGCTAGTAGTCGTACTTCTGGTCTTTTTTACTTTATTTTTTTTTTTTTTTTGTTGTGTGTGTGTGTTGTGGGGGGGGGGGGCTGTAGTTTCCGTTCTTTATTAGTCTGTTACATTTATTGTTGAACAGTATAGGAGAATGATGGTACTGTGGTCTCCCCTCCCCTCTTTATTTGTTTGTTTCATTAATTGTTAATGAAAAATTTAAGCAAAAAGACACCTACCCAAGTGAGAAGTCCTAGCAGATATAATTGAATTTTATGAATTTATGTTAGGAGTTGATCGTTAGAATGGATGATTCTGTGATTTTTCTCTCTTATTATTGTGTTCCATTTTGGTTGATGTATTTTTTATTCCATTTTGATTGTTGAAATTTGACCAAAGTACCTTTTTAATTGGAAATTACAAGTTTTTTTTTTATTGATGTATTTTTAATTCCATTTTGATTGTTGAAATTCGACTAAAGCACCTTTTTAATTGGAAATTGCAAGTGTTTTAGTTACACTGGGCGATATGCTTGAATATTGATGGGAATGATTTAGCAATGGATTATTGAAATGAGAGGATGCCTGATATTGTAGATCCCTGTAGATCCCTTCTTTATTAGTGTGTTACATTTCTGGTTTCATGTGCATGCTGAGGCCAAACTGATCTTTGGGGGGTTATTATCGTTTTATTGGTAAATATAGGTGTAATAAGCTCTCTCAAAAAAAAAAAGTATAGGTGTAATAAGGAGCTTACACTACTGTTTGGTTTTGCACCTTGCGGAATAACCATCCAATGCCTCGTATTTTGGACTGAAACTTATTTGGAGAATGGGTGATTTCTTTTGGAGTATAAACAGTTTTAGTTCCTCCTTGTTTGAGCTCTGAAGAACTGGTTAAGCTTTTTACTTCCAGTCTTTCTAAGGATATGCATAAATCTCGATGCGAAGTGAATCAAGACTGGGCAGATAGAACCGTGGTTGTGATTTCTTTTCTTTATGCAGTACTTTTCATTTTCTGGTTTGATGAGACTTGAAACACTAGGTTCATTTTGTAATTGTCATTGTAATTTCTTCGGTAGTTACATGGTCATCCTACTTATCTTCTTGCATAGGCATCATCGACTTATTGAGTATAGGGTGGACTACTGGGTGGACTACTTATTGAGTATAGGGTGGACTACTGGGTGGACTACTTATTGAGTATAGGGTGGACTACTGGGTGGACTACTTATTGAGTATAGGGTGGACTACTGGGTGGACTACTTTTATTGAGTATTGGGTGGACTACTGGGTGGACTACTTGAATTTTGACGGAATTTATGTTAGAAATGGGAGAATGGATGATCCTGCATTGTTCCCTTTTTAATTTGTTTCATATCTGAATCTTTAAGAAACTCAAGCTCCAATTGAAAAAATCAAATGTAAAATTGATTGTATATGAGTTTTTATATATTCATCAATAAATACAAGCATGTTACCGAGGACTCATCTTGTATCTCTTCTTGTGCAGTTACACTTGACTTGGAATTCGAAAAGTATCCAGTGCTTCGTGTTTTGAACTGAGAAATCTTAGTGAGAAAATGGTGATATATGGAAGTAAAGATGACAAGAAGAAGCTGGTGATCACACAAATCAGTATAGCGGGTTTCGATGAGGGAACTTCAGCACAACAGCTTGTAGAGTATTTAGAAGGCGCAGTCGGGTCAATAATTAGATGCAAACTGAAGCGGTCGTTGACACCACCCAATTCCTATCCCGATTATAAAATCGATGCTTCACAAGTCAGAAGAACTATTGAGGTTACGAGGGTCATTCCACATGCATTCGTGCATTTTGCAATACCTAAGTGTGCAGAGAGGGCTCAAACTTTGTCAGGTAAATGTGCACTAATTTTGGGTTCATCCCCTTTGAAAGCTCACGTTGGGATGAACAGCTCATTTCGCGTGGCAAGGAGAAAGACCACTCCTCCTAATGTATTCAAAAATTGCAAGGTTCAAATTGGGTCTTTGTTTAGTGAGTCCGAGTTTTTGGTTGGTTGGGAGGGGCCCGATTTAGGGGTAAACTTTCATGTGGATCCGTATGATGGAACTTGTGGGATTTGTTTCCCTAGGGACATCGTTTTCTCGGTCAAAGACACAAACCACAAAGCTGTGATCAAATGTGATTTGAAGTTGGAGTTCCCAGTCCGAGATATTCAGTGGGTGCATTTTTTTGAAGAGCAAACTTCTTTGGGGATGCTCATGCAGTTGAGTTCATCACCTTTAATTTATTACAGGACAGATAACGATGACACCCATGTCACTGTTCCTTTCCCTTTGTTGGATGATGAGGACCCATGGATAAGGACCACTGATTTCAGTGTTAATGGTGCGTTGGGTCGGTGCCATTGTTATAAAATCTCGTTCTCTCCTCGTCATGGACTTATAAGGGAGAAGGCCAGGGACTACTTTAGGGAGTGTAGGATCTTGGAGCATGAAGTTTTGCAAAAAGACCTTGGATCTCTGGGTTATCCTCCTAAAGTTACCACTGAGCATGGATTCATGGAACAGATGCGTGATCATTTTTTTTCAGTAAATATTCAGCAGGGACTATGCTTCGAGATAGTGTACTTGGTTACTTGCTTAGTGCACAAGGGCATTATAAATCAGCATAGGTTGTGCAAGGAATTTTTTGACTTGTTGAGGAGCCAATCTTCCGAAGTTAACACTGCAGCCCTAAGGCACATGTACTCTTGTCGCCGCCCAGTTTTTGATGCGTATAGGAAGTTGGAGACTGTCCATGAATGGCTCTTGAAGAATCCAAGGCTCCTGAAGGAAACCCATATTCCCGAAGAGAGTGTAGAGGTGAGGAGGTTGATGATTACCCCAACTGGAGCTCAGTGTCTTCCTCCTCAGGTCGAGCTCTCTAACCGGGTCCTTAGGAATTATAGAGAAATATCGGACCGGTTTATTAGGGTCACATTTACAGATGAAGGGCTCCAAACTCTGAATTCTGGTGTTCTTTCTATCTACACTGCTCCCATTGTCAAGGATTTCTCTCATATTAAACCTTCACAAAAGACGACAATATTCAGGAGGGTGAGAAGTATTGCTTTTGATGGTTTTAATCTATGTGGGCGTAGGTATTCATTTCTAGCATTCTCATCAAACCAATTGAGGGACCGGTCAGCGTGGTTTTTTGCTGATACTGAGAAGACGACTGCCGACTCAATTAGGTCGTGGATGGGTAAGTTCACGGATAAGAATGTTGCTAAGTGTGCAGCAAGGATGGGAATGTGCTTTTCCTCGACTTATGCCACAGTTGAAGTTGATCAGAAGGATGTGAACTTTAAGCTCGCAGAGATAGAAAGAAATGGATATGTTTTCTCCGATGGGATAGGGAAGATCACACCAGAGCTCGCAACCCAAGTTGCGAGCAAGTTGAAGCTCTCTGAAAACCCTCCTTGTGCTTACCAAGTCAGGTATGCAGGCTGCAAGGGTGTCATTGTGACTTGGCCTGGTGATGGGAAGGCCAAACTCTCGATAAGACCAAGTATGGTCAAATTCCAATCAAAGCACAGCATACTTGAGGTTATTACTTGGACCCGTTTCCAACCTGGATACCTAAATAGGCAGATAATAACCCTTCTTTCAACCTTGAAGGTACCTAATGAAGCTTTCTTGGAGTTGCAAGATTCAATGGTGTCTGATTTGAGCCAAATACTCGTGAACACTGAGGTGGCACACAAGGTGGTGACTAATTCTTGTGGGGAGCAAGCCAATACAGCTGCAATTATGTTGAGTGCTGGATTCACACCCCAAACTGAACCCCACCTTAGAGAGATGCTGTCATGCATTCGAGCTGCTCAGTTAGGTGACTTACTTGCAAAAGCAAGGATATTTAATCCTGATGGTCGGTGGTTGATGGGATGTTTGGATGAGTTAGGTGAACTAGAGCATGGGCAGTGCTTTATCCAAGTCTCGAGCCCTTCTTTGGAGAATTGTTTCATTAAACATGGTAAGAGTTTCTCTAAGAGGAAACACAATGTGAAGGTAATCACAGGAACTGTTGTTATTGCCAAGAACCCTTGCCTCCACCCTGGGGAAATTCGGGTTCTTGAAGCAGTTGATGTACCTGGGTTGCACCATTTAGTTGATTGTTTGGTTTTCCCTCAAAAGGGGGATAGACCGCATACCAACGAGGCATCAGGAAGTGATCTAGATGGAGATACTTACTTTGTCACTTGGAACGAAAAGCTTGTGCCTCCAAGTGGCAAGAGTTGGGCTGCGATGGAATATGATTCTGGAAAAGCCAAATTTGCACCACGGGAAGTGTCGTCTCGGGTATACCTTTACCTTTATGACAATTTCTTTTGTATGGTATTTTTGTTGTATCATGTGACTACAGTTCGGTAGCTTTTTTATGTGCCCATTGTTTTTTGAGAAATAGGATAGTGTTTTTATGTGCATACTATTGCTACTATTACTAGCAAGGTTTTTGAACTCTTTTGTCTTATGCAATTCTGCTGCTTTCTGTCTTCTTTCTTTAGAATTATTAGGATGTGATTAAACTTGGTTTTAATGGGGGATTCTGGAGAATTAATTTTCATAGAAATTTTCTTCAAAATTTGGAACTGTATATGGCGTTGCACTAAACTGCTCCCTAAGTTGTAGAAAAGAGGAATATATCACTCATGGTGGCACTTGTGACTAAACCTAATGCACACATGAACCTCATACGTGCATGTGAATCAATATACTGTTCACTGGACCTTGGCTTGAAAACTTGGAACATTCGGTTGTCTGGATAGTCTGGTGACATGATAATGCAGAACTGCGGTGAACTGAAAGAACATCATTGTATCATCTTTTTTCTTGGCTTTGATTATTTCCGCAAGTTTGGTCAGTGACATTTTGTGTTTTTGTGTTACGATTGACTCTCCTTTAATTCCACACAACTAATGGTTTGATATGGTCCAACAACCAACTTCCCGATCTATCTTTTTTGCTGTTCCAATAGTAGCAACATTTGTTATTGATATGATATATTATCATGAAAGCATGAATACACGATGTACTGTTTTGTAAACCATGAGAACTGTTTTCCTGTTAGTGTTGTCGCATTGAATTAGAAGCCACAAGACAAACTGGTTTTGTATGATGCCTTCTTATTACACAATGGCAAAAATAGAGAGAGGAAAGTTAATTAAGTTCAAACGTTTTGTGGAGGTGTGGTTACATATATAGCTGGATCTTGTGCTGAACCCTTTTGATTGCGAATTTATTACTAGATGTTGGTTTTGCATGCTTTTTATATCTGGTTGTCACCAATTTATGTATGGATTAGAAAGCTTTTATACTGTTCATGCTAAAAAAGGTGAGCTTTGTTGGACTTGGCTTGGCCCAAGCGTGCATAACTTGGAGAGTGAAGTCGAGTGTTTTTAATTAGTGAAAAGGGAACTTCCCTGACCCATCAAAAACGGAAGCATCTATCCATTGGTTATGCTGACCTGGTCTTGTCTTCTGTTTTCAAGACATGACAGTGTGTGAGCGAAGTTATTGTGAGGGAACCCCAGGTCTCATTCTGAAGTTAAAAAAAAATATTTGCAACGCCTTGATCTTTTAAAAGACGACCAGAACACTTCTCGTTGTCGTCATTTCAGTGCAATCATTGTGCCTGTAGCTCGAAATGATTGGTTTACCATTGTGTCTGATTCTCTGTTTATTATTTTTGAGTATCTGGAGAAGGCATGTATCTTCAATTCTTTCACACTACTGTTTCTTTAATTTGTTCTTGGTCTTTCTGATAATGTCATCTATGTATTCTAGAGAGAGAGAGAGAGAGAGAGTATTCATTTTATTGTTAAAATTGTTTGTCCTTTTAATGATGCTAATATTATTCTTGTATTTTTCATCAGGATATAATTGAATTCTTCATGAAGCATATGGTGAGTGATAGCATTGGGCAGATAAGCAATGCTCATGTGGTGCATGCAGACCTAAGTAAGGACGGGGCGCTAGATGAGAATTGCCTTTACTTGGCAGAGCTAGCTGCAATAGCCGTAGATGTGCCCAAAACCGGTAAGCAAGTCTTCTTGCCCAATAACCTTAAACCCAAGATGTACCCTGACTTCATGGAGAAGGATGGAATTTTCTCATACAAATCGGAGAAAATCCTTGGAATCCTCTATCAAAAGATAAAGGATGCTCCTCAACTGAAGTTCGACGAAATAGAGCCTCACTCCCTAGATGACCTCCCCTATGACTTGGACCTCGAGGTGCCAGGCTCTGAGAACTTCCTGTCAGAGGCTTGGCATTATAAATGTTTATACGATAGGCAGATCATTCTTTTCCTTGGGCTGTATAATGTGAGCTCTGAGGGTGAGGTGGTTACAGGTTGTTACTCCTCTATCTCTAAACATAACAGTCGGAAGGTGGGCGAATTAAAAGAGAAGCTGAATAACACGTATAGGGCTTTGAATAAGGAGTTCAAAGCCATCTTTGAAAATGTTGGCTCAGATGTCGAGCTGAGTGATGAGGAGAAGAATGCCTTCTATGAAAAGAAGGCTTCAGCTTGGTACCAAGTGACCTACCACCCTGAGTGGGTTAAGAAGCTTGAGGAGATAAGAGAAAGGAAGGGCATGGCGGAGAAGTCAGGTAGGGAATTGGCCACCCCATTGAGCTTTCCATGGATTGCTGTAGATTATTTGATGAGGATAAAGATTAAGGTGGCTAAGAGGGAGTTTGATCCAACAAAACCCATCGACTCTCTTGCCTGTTATTTGCTCCCTCACATTTGAATTTGGGCACTTTCTTTGGATTTCCTTAGGAAGGCCACTCTGCCACTTACTTCTGTTGTATGTTGGGGCTCTCTCTCTCTCTCTCTCGCGACTGTGTTGATATGGTGAGCCTAGATCCATGAGGAATCTTGTGAATCTGATGACTATGCAGCTGGTCTCTCTCTAATATCAGCTCTCTGATCATGCGGTTGTCACTCTATATTGGTGTGTTGTGTGCCTACTGTATGTGTAAAAGGAGGTTGTCACTCTATATTGGTGTATTATGTGTGTTGTGTGCCTACTGTATGTGTAAAAGGAGGTTCGCTCTATATTGGTGTATTATGTGTGTTGTGTGCCTACTGTATGTGTAAAAGGAGAACCTGGTTGTATTTATATTTTGGAAGAACCACCACTGTTTGTATATGTAAAAGATATGATAATGTGGCTTTTGTGATTTTGTTGGAGTTGATGTTTGGGTTATATTCTGTTCCAATTAATGATGGTATTGCCATTTCGCATTTGGATGTAAAGTTTTTCTGGTGTTTTGTTACTTATGGACGCGTGTAGATGGAAGATGGGCTCTCATTTCTTCCAAATCTCTCCCTCCCTCCCCCCTCTCTCTGGTTTGTAATCCAGAGTTTTTGCCTTTAATTTCAGTTCCCAATTGCTTGGTAGTCAAACCATCTCTCTCTCCCTGAATTTTTTTTGACCTTTGTTGTTCTCTCGAGATTTTTTTTCCCTTACTGCTCTGTATTCGTATGATCAAAATGTGCCCATATGTATGTGAATTTCTCTATGGACTCTCATAACATCACTCTCTCTCTCTCTCTTTATTTCTCAGTGCTCGATAGGTTATGGTCTCCCAAATTAGTTATAATTAGGATTTCTCTCTATGGTCTCCCACATTAGTTGTAATTAGGATCTCTCTCTCGGTCTATTTCTCGTATAGCCTATGGACTCTAATTATGTATGATTAAGATTTCTCTATCTGGACTAGGTGCATGGAACTGTATATAACCATCATCTTGCAAAGGAAAAAGTTTATATAAGGTTGCAACTAGAATTAAAGATGCACCTGAAAAATCTTTCGGAAAATCGTTCGGAAAAGGTTGTTTTAATATTGAAAAACCCTCTAATCATTTCGATATCGAGATGTATAAATATGAAAAAAAAAAAAAAAAAAAGTTTTAGTCTCTGAAATAGTATATCTTATAACACATTGTTTAGACTATCCATGTTGATGTATAAATATATATAAAAAAAAAGATTTTGAGTCTCAGAAATAGTGCAACACAAATATTTAGATATTCCATTCTCAAGATTTTTATATGTTCATAAATCTACTTGATCTTAATCATTATTTTAACCATTTTTAGAATTTAAAGGTGCATAATTAGATATAAAAATATATTTGGAGATAATCCTAATAATTGTTTACACCAAAATTATATGTTACAATAAAATTTGGAGATGCGCCTTAATTGGATTGTTTAAGGTTGCAACCTTATAGAAACACAACTTCTTGCAAAAGGTGTTGCTTATGGCATATGATACAGTCCCATTCAATAAAAAAGGTGGTAGTTCTATTATTGTTTTTGAAAATAAGGGGCAGTTCCATGATTTGTGTGAAAATTAATTGTTCATGTGAAGCAGAAATAACCAAAATACATTTAAAGAAGTCCGAAATAAAGTATCAAGATAGAAATTGTAATTGGCTGCCTTTGATAGCTTGCTTATTCAATTGTGCAGCAGGAGAAATAATTATGGGAGTTACTATGAAACCATTCAATTTTTATACAAGAAAACAGTTACTTTTTAAGCATTAGATGTGTTATAACAATCGATATATTTTATTTTAAATTTTGGAACCGACTCAATTAACAATCGATATATTTTATTTTTAGTTTTGTACCGACTCAATGACACATCCCCAACCACTTGGCTTCATATCTGGCGAACCAATGGTTTTTTTTTTTGTATACATTTCCAAAATTTATAATTCAGCAATATCTAGAACGAGAAAATGAAACTGGCAACACCTGGAAAATGATGAAAGCACTTAGATTCAAGCTCAAACTCCCAATTGGGAAGTGGGGGAAGAGTGTGCGTGGGGTCAAACATTGTTTCCTTCTCAGGTGAAAATTGTAAAGTTACACTATAGAACTGCAAGCACATTTGTGGTCATACAAGAATCAGAACATATAGAGAGGGAGAAGAGTTGTAGACAAATCTTAGAAAAATTGATAGAGAGAGAGAAGAGTTGTAGACAAATCTTAGAAAAATTGTTGTCTTAAATCTCAGTAGGGGGCTTGAATCTTATCAGCCTTCTCACTCTATCCTTGTTTGTGTTTTCAAGCATCCCCTTCACCACATAAAAACAACAAATCAAACAACACCCACAATTATTATAGAAAATTGTATAAAATAAAATAATTATCTTTAGTGTAAAAAGATCATAATCACCCCTAACTATTAGATGTCAAATCAGATAGCTCGAAGTGTGTCATGGAACTCCCCTAAGTAACTCAAGATTAACAAGTTGTCGAGACCGGATCCATACACATGGGAACAAATTGTATCTGTCATGTTCTCAATATGTTATTCTTTTCTTGGCTAAAATCGGCCCAGTATCTGATAGAAATCAGTTAGTCTATCACACCTGACTCAAGCTCAGGCCCCTAGTGAGCTCTTATACAAGTATTTATTTTTAGGTTTTGTTACGCTACACCACTTGAGGTGTACACCTTTAAAGTCCTCAACATTTTTGGACACTTAGATACACTTGCATTGTAATATAAAAATTTTCATGCAGGGGCGGTTTTGGTCATTTAAAGAGGTAGAATGGATATTTCTCTAAAAAAATAGTGGCATTCTATAGCAGTTAAAAAATAATTAATGCACTATATGGGTGATGTGACACACCATATCAGTGATGTCATTGTCACTATTGTTCATAAATGCTTTTACTTTTATTATAAATTTCTACTTTATCATTGACTAATTACTTAAAATACGCCAAGACAAAAAGCTACAGTACTATAGGATAAAGATATCTAAATATCAAAAAATGTTGAGGACTTTAAAGGTATACACCATAAATAGTGTAGCGTAGCATAGCATAACAAAACCCTTTATTTTTTATACTAATAAATAACAAGTACTAAGGGTTTGGTTGTTGAGTAGACCCAGCCCATTTCCCATTCTTATATATAGCAGATGACTACAAAAGGATCCAAAGTTCCTACAAGTAATTCTCCAACCCAAAATTGTGAGTTCTTAAAAAGCTTCAAATATTAACTACCCATTAAATGGACAGGTCAGATCTGATTTTTGAGGTGGTAGTGGAGATGAACACTTATAAGTGCTCTAAATCTTTCATAGGTGGGATATTACTTTTGGGGAGAAGAATGATTTTTGCAGTTTCTCAGGTCCTCAAAATTGAGAAATTGGCGAAATGAGGTGTAGATTTGATGTAGTTATGGCCTCACGAAAACAATTTTCTCTGTAGTGGTAATGGGAAAGATCCTACTTGTTCCACATGAAAACAACTGAAGATCAAATTATTAAATTCTAGTTGTTTTCCGACATAAAAATGGCGATGTTTATCCAGAATCAATTTCCAAAAATAATAATGATTAACAGTACCTATACAATCTATGGTGAGTAAGGGCAAGGGCAAATTGTATATTTTCGCGGGCGAAAGGCCTACTTGGAAGGATCTTCTTGATGGGAAAGTTTGGAATCCACTTTAGAAAAACTGGATGAGTAGTTTCAAGAAAAAAGAAAAAATGATTTGAGTTCTCATACACCTAGTAGCCAAAATGTGACAGCTTGTGTATAATCCTTAGGTGTGATTTTATTCAAGAATTAAGACTCAATTTCTTGAATGTTTTAACGCACATTATTTCCGGCAAGGGATTCATTTGATCATGTCAAATACACGCTGACTACATCCATCAGTCTCCTGAGCCGTTACATCTGACTCTTATGACATGGCCGTTCTTCCAGTGGGGGATGAATATTGTGGGACCAATCACCCCGACATCAGCAGGGAACTACAAACTCCTATTATCTATTTCTTGTCTCTAGTTCATTTTTATTTAAAAATAAAACTAAATAACAAATACAAGATATTTTCAAGGGGAATAGATATGGTCTTCTTTTTTACCAGATTTTGTCATGTGATTAGATGTCTAATGAGTTAGATTCTTTACGAAAGAGAGGTTTTGGGCAAATAGGAGGGAAAAAAGGTGGTGAAAAAGAAATTTAGATGCCATATTCCTAATTTTTCTCTATTAGTCATACAAATGATTTAGAAGGACAGCTACCAACATGAGGTAATTGTTATCATGTTATCAGATGTCTAATGAGTTAGATTCTTTAGGAAAGAGAGGTTTTGGGCAAATAGAAGGGAAAAAAGGTGGTGGAAAAGAAATTTAGATGTCATATTCCTAATTTTTCTCTATTAGTCATACAAATGATTTAGAAGGACAGCTACCAACATGAGGTAATTGTCATGGAGAGAGAGAGAGAGGTGAGTCTTTGACTAGGGATATGTTTGCCCATCATCTTGTCAAGAAGAAATTTATAACTTTTATGATGATACTTGTTCTCAATAATGCATATAAGTACTTTAGAAGTTTTTGTAAATAGTAGGAAAATATGATTCAAGTGATGGATTGAAATAGGAGTATGAGAAACCTTTATATATGGAAAATCTTGCAATAATAAAATACATTAGAATTTTAAGTCTTGTTCTAGGTTCTAAATTAATCAAACAAAATGGAAGATCATTATGACTTGGTGATGAGTAATACAAATACATTAAAAAGTAGTATATGTCATGTAGATAATTTCAATATTCTCTTACTGTTATTTGCTATAAGATAAGATGAATGCTCAAAATCCAATAGGGGATTAGGGATTTTGGAAGGGTGCTTTTTTTGGGATTGTATTTAAGGAGACCATTTACCTTTGGTACAGTCCCAATTACTTACAACCATCAGATATGGAATTTAATAGTTTGGGTATATCACAAAGTTCGAGAAAATTTCTTTAAGTTTGAGCTTAGTCAATGGAATAAATGCAGTCTCCTAATTTCATATCCAATGGTCAAGATTAGTTGTGACAACATCATACCAAAGGTAAATCATCTCGTTCTATATTTCTCCATTTTCTTTTGCAAAGTCATAAGTTTACTACTCTTAGTAAGTTCTAGGTTTATTACTTTCAGTAGGGGATAACTTCTATTTTCTTAAATATTTGCAAAAAAATGAGATGAGATGAACGGCCCAAATTTTGTAAGGGGCACATAATCGTTATAGGGCTTTCCAAAGGCGGCGTGTTAACCTATTTATTATAGCAGCCAAGGTTTTTTGCAATTCTGAAGTATTCGAGTTGAAATCCTCTCCTCGCTAAATTGATTCAAGTATGTAGATTATTGTTTTTCTCTTAGTTTTTGACT